ATTTTCTGTAAATGTTTTTCCTTGCAATAGTTTCGACAATAAACACACGCTGTTTAATAGTGAACTTCATTTCCACCGTCTGTCGACAGCTGTAAACATTCCACTCCACTTCCACAGCAAGACAAAGACTGACTGTTTAATGCAACCTCGGGTTCCGATTATGCAACCATCGGCGTAGGAGCACTGCAGTCGCGGGGAGGAGTTGCATCCGTTCTGCAGTGGTATGACTCACGGCAAATTGCAGCCGCGGCGCGCACTTGATTGTACGCACTGTAGAATGTATGCTAAGTATTCAGTAACTTGACCTGGCTGGCTAGGGTCCCTACTCCAAAAGAAAATAAAGTTTGCCCCTTCCAGCTGTTTATGTACCAGGCAGGAAGTTAGTAGAGGGGAATATGTTTCAAGGACAAAAGCGGTTGAAGGCAAGCGATCTCTCCCGGACTTGTTTATGGAGCTATCTGATGTACCTTGTGGAGGAGTAGTGATTAGTGACTCAGACAGTGGAAGTGACAGGGATCAACAAAGAATTGTGGCCACAGATAATAAAAGTGAAAATTGCCTTGTGGCTTATAAATTGTGCCATTTTCAATTCATTTTTGGTTTACAAAAATCTAAACCCTGATTCTAAAGTGATATACAAAGCATTTCTAATGAATGTGGCAAAGGCTTGGGCTACAGACCAGATGGTGGTGGCAGAACCAGAGTCTGACAGACTTAGTGCAACCTAACCCATGAACTCCCACCTCACGCAGGCCTCATGTGGACACCCCTGGGCGACTCTNCTAGGCAATGGCGTGTTTGCGCAGTTCACAAAATAAGGACTATGACTGTCTACATTTGAAAGTGTATAATGCCACTTCAAAAAGGGGAATGTTTCCAGGAATATCACACTTTCAAGCACTTCTAGGAGCATTGGTAAGTGTTCTCCAAAAATTATAGTTCATAAAATTAATTAGGAGATTTTATATTAATTTTTAAAGTGAACAGTGCACAAGTTAGGGTAGTAGGTATAAAAATGCCGGTCCCCAGGGTGATTTAAATATTTAAATTGCCGGTTTGCAAAGTGTTAAAATATGTGTTTCACAAATTCAGAGTGTAATGGTACAAATATTGATCTCCTCTTTCAATATGAAGCCTAAAATACTTTTGAAACCTGCAATTATATAGGATCTCCTTGTCATTTGTCATGTAGGCTCACATTTCTAGCAGCACTGTAAAGAATGGTACCTCTCAGAGCAGTCAACAGGGCATTGCTTACACACTCATGCACTCTTGCTCCATTTTTACAAACTGAGCACACTTTACAAGGTGGGGCTTCTCTTCTCTGTACCTGAGAAATGTCTTAGACAGTGCCCCCTTGTCTTTGCACCCAATCAGAGGTGTGTTACCCTGAGATGGTTTTCCTCAAGTGTTATAATTAGGCAAAACCACATTTTGCAGTAGGTCTAAGATTGCAACAGCCTACCTTAATATGACACATTATATGTATAGTTCTTAATTATATTTTAATTGTGTAACTTATCTCATTTAAAATCTTATATTTTTTATTTAATGTTTTATATTATTATATTAAGGATTATTGTAAAAAATCCAACACTGCACTGAATTATATTGTATGCAATTCAGTACCTTAAGATCACATTAATTGCGTATTTGCCTGATGATGGCTTTCTAAAAATCTGAAACATATAGCAAAATAATGTTAAACATCAACTGTTTTGTTGTATTGTGACGGATTTTAATAAAGAAATTTATATATTCAGCACAGCAGGGTGCATCCATTGAAAACTAAGATTTATTATTCAGTGGCTGACAATTCAGAAAATAACAATTACCAAATGTCTGTTGATGCAAACTTAAAATATAAAGACTAGGTAACTCTGAAACTGATCACAAGTCTACCTTGATGTTACCCACTATGGATGGGCACCATCTATATCATAAGTCTACCTTGTTATTCCAACACAAGGGATGAATATGACCCTCAGAATTGTGGCAGAGCTCAAATATTTTGCAACAACAACAACAACAAATAATCCAAATTGTATGAACCAAGAAATTAAGATCAGATTAAATTTGAGTATTGGTTGCTACAATTCAGCTCAGAGTCATCTGTCTTCCCACTTTAAAAACTTGAATATTAGAATACACAGAATTGTAATTTGACCTGTTTTAAATAGATGCGAAAATTGGGCTCCCCCTTAAACAAATGAAGACAGGTGATGGTGCTTGAGAACAGACTGCTGAGGAGAAATGTTGCAATTACTGGAATAATAAGCCATCCGGTGGGAAAAAATGTAATGGAGTAGATCAAATTAGAATGAACAGTAACCTAAAGAGCCCAACGTCATGCAAGGAAGAGAATATATGACGTGCAGTGGTGTTTATATACTACATACAAGGAAGATCTAAGGAAACATAGTTCTGTGACATGTTGTGCAACGGAGGACACCCACCTCCCCAGTGGTACGTGGCGGTAACGTAGCGCTCGCGTTACTATAGTAATAGGCGAGTCCCCGCCTCGCCACTCTCCCCACGGTGATGTAATGCGCAACGCGCGGTGACGCAACACGGTGACGCGGCACCGCTTCCTACTGTGACGTGGCACGCAACAGGCAACACTGCGGCTATATAAGGGAACTGCACAGCAGCTACGAGCGAGTTGTAAGGTAGCAGCCTGCGAGTCGAGTTGACATATAGCAGCAGTCGCGATAAGAAGAACCGGACATGTGTGTAATTGTGTAATTGGGAGTGTGTGATACAGTGATACATAGCTCCCCTACCGTAAACGTGTAGACTACTGAAGACAGAGTGAACCGATTTGCGCATAGGGTTATAAAGTGTGAAACCCCGCAACAGTGTTATAATTAATTGTAGCCGTTATTTGTAGATTGTTAAATAAACCAATGAACCATCTCTATGGTGTATTTGGTAACGAAACACGTTACAATACTTTTACTGTAAAAACTTGAAAGAAATAATTTTTTATAAATTTTGTACCTCATGACTGAACCATATTTTAAGATCTAACAGTGTAAAGCTAATTTCCTTTTATTGCCATGCCTGTGAGTATGACCCAAAGGGAGCAGAACAAATGAGGTTACACATCTAATTTGATCTGTCGCCCTGAAAATTGTTGTACTGGATGGCTTATGGTGAAAATGTCACATTCTAAGAATATGCTGATGAGAATATTTAGTTTTGCAGGAAAGCAAATAACAGAAGACTGGAGAAAACTACATAATGAGGAGCTTCATAATTTGTACCTTCATGAAGGTCGTGGGTTCAAGTCCTGATGAGGTCATTCGATTTTTTTTCAGTTGACCTAATCCTTCCAGCTGCACTAGGCCCTGGGATTTACTCAGCCTCTAACAGAAATGAGTACCAGAAATTAATTAAATAATTTTCCTGGGGAGTAAAGCGCGGCCGGCGCGTAAGGCTGACAACCTTACCGCCATCTTTGAGCCTATTGTCTAGATAATGTGGGACCCTCAACGTCTCACAACCCTATGGGCCTTCATGGCCTGGTACAGGGATATCTTTACTTTACTTTACATGAAATATTGTAAGAGTGTAATCAAGGAAGACAAGATGAATGGTGCATGTAGGACAGATGAGAGATATAAGAAATGTATATGAAATATTGGTAGGGAAACCAGAAAGGAAGAGCTCATTTGGGCGATTGTAGCATAACTGGGAGGATGATCTTTAAATAGATCATGAAGCAATAGGGTGTGAAGTTGTGGCCTAGGTGGCTGAGGATTGCTTCTAGTGATGGGCTGTTGTGAACATGGTACTGATGTTTCAAGTTCCATAACGTTCATGGAATTTCTTGCCCAGCTGAGAAGTTAACAGCTTCTCAAGGACTCTGGTTTAGAGGATTAGTTAGAAGTGTATTATATTATTTTATGTTTAAAGTCATTTTATAGCTGAGTAATTACAGTACATTCTGTGGTGGAAAATTAACTGATATGTATGAGCAGACGTGATGTGTTTGGTGGGAAGGTTGACAAACAAACCATGTTATATAAACTATAAGCTTTATATACATTGTATAAGATTTGAGGTTTTCACCGCGGTGACTATGAAGAATGCCACCTTCTGGGATGTGGTGCCATGTAGATCTTGTGTTAACCGACATTTCAGAGGAACGTATTGCCTCACCATGGTGACTCAGTCTGCCGCGACCTGGTCACGCTGGTTCCTCACTTGCAGATTTTTCTACCCTGAAGATGGAGGCGATACATTCCTTTGAAACATCGGCCCACATGATCTACATGGTGCCACATCCCAGAAGACTGCATTCTTTATATACATTGTCATTATTCATTAAACCCAGTGTCTGCAGAAGATGTTCAAGATTTAGTACATAATATTTATGGACACTAAGGACAGAGAATGGCATAGAAAGGGAAACTAAGCCACACAACACATGAAGTTTGGCAGGTATCAGTCCAGTGATACTTTGTAGATGTAGGTATGAATGAGTGCAACTGAATACAAGCTCCATTCTACATCCCCACAGATATTGAAGACAGTACTGGAACTCAATCCACGCCCCAGTCAATAGTACACTTTTCAGTATTGCTGTTGCCACTTGTCTATTCTGCCAGTGTTTTCAACTAACAGTATGTTTGAATTTACTTTGCTAACAAATTTCAGTATTCTATCATTACCACCATTGATATGACCAATAATCTTGCTCTTTAATTATTTATATTAAAATGATGATACAGTTACTGTGTTTCTGGACATTATCCAGCATCCTGTTTTTATTTAAAACACATTGTTTGGGAACTGGGTTCTGCGTCTGTCTTCAGGGGGAACCTATGCAATTGGGCCTAGTCAGTACAGCTAGTCCCTATCTCTGGACACGCATATACCACTGTTATAAACTTTAGATCATATTTAAAGTGATGTTGACACATACACTATAGTGGTGAGTGAGCGGCAGGTAGAGGTTTTATTTTATGAATTGCATTTTGTGTTATTCTGAACAGCTACATCTTCTCAGTGCTGCCACACAACAAGCAGGTGATTGCATTAAGCGCAACATACCCAGATGAACTGGACATGTTTCTGAGCCGTTACATGCGTTGCCCAACACATGTGAATCCAGGACCTGAAGGACCAGTTTTATTGGGCATCAGGCAGTTTGTGTCAATTGTACGCCCTCATCTGAACACAATGGTACAAATAAAATACAAAGTACAGGAACTACTGCGCATCCTGTCATTTGTTCCCTTCAAACAGTGCCTCATATTTTCCAATTACCAGTCAAGGTATGTATAATTTGCACATTTCATAGTACAGGAGATTCTTTTGAGCCCCTTCCAAATTGTTGAACCTCTCGGGCAAGAACTGGACATTCCTCCCATTAAGTCATTCTGCAGAACAGGAGATGCTGGAAATGCTGTCCAGTTTCCCAGACCCAGCTTGGAAGCTCAGTGAAGAATTTATATTTATACTATGAATTCTTGGGAAGTAGAGTGAATAATTTCCATCATCCCATTTGTGTTATTTTTTATACGTAACTAACTTACTCCATGGAGCATAGTTGTTCTTGACAAGCTAACAGTTGCTCAGCTATTCAAGAAGTTTCCTGCCTTTAATGGGAACCTGAACATGAATATCCATGTTCACAAGAGCTAACTACTGGTCCCTATCCTGAGCCAGATGAATTCGCTCCACGCCCTTCTTCCTAATTCTGTAAGCTCCATTTTAGTGTTATCTTCAAATCTATGTCTTATGTCGACATAGTGATTTCTTTCCTTCAGGTTTTTGTACCAGCATTCTTTAGGTATTTCTGTTCCCTGCTATGCATCTCATCCTCATTGATTCCATCATCCTAATAATAATTGGCAAGAACAACTTAAAGAAGTTCCTTGTAATGTAATTTTATCCATGCTCCTATTACTTCCCCCTCTTAGGTCCAAATATTTTTCTCAACACACTTTTCTGAAACACCCTAAGTTCATGTTCTTTCCTTAATTTGAGGGATCATGTTTTGTACCTGTACTAAATAACAGGCAAAATTTTTCATTAGATAGCGGACAGGAATACAGAAGATTAAAAAATAAATAGTAGCATTGAGCAAGCTGGCTAAAGTGGTGACACTTCTGACTTGTTTGCAAGGTGCCGGGCTCAGATATCAGCCAATACACTAGCTATTTTGAAAGGTTTTTGTGGTTTTCCTCAGTCCTTCCAAGCAGATGCTGGGACAGTATCTCAAACCCACATACACATTCTAATTCCATTCACTATTCACCACGAGCCATCCCATCATTCTGTGCTGTATAGTCAGAGTTACTGACTGCACGGTTAAATAACATAAAAACAAGAATAAACCTAGCCCTGTAACAGGCTGTGGAGACCCATTGGGTTGTGAGACATTGAGGCTCCCACATTTTCTAGACAGTCGGCTCACTGATGGCAGTGAGATTGTCAGCCTTATGCACCGGCTGGCCGCCCTTTACCCCCAGGAAGATTCCTGGTACACATTTCTGTTAGAGGCTGGGTCAACCCCAGGGCCATAGTGCGGCTACTTCAGCCAGTTTTAACGCCTCATTCTCCTCAATATTAATGTAATAATATGTTGTAAGTAGGTAAAACTATACCTGTAACAGGTCATATTGATGCTCCCACATTTTCTAGACCATCGGCTCACAGATGACAATTATAAACCATAAAGAAATAAATAAATAAAAACTGTTAGGCATACCCCAAATTTAATCTGCTCTGGTATCATGCTGCAGAGTTTCATAACACTTGCGTTATGGTATCTCCATTGGAATTGTGACCAGATATAGTTCCAGTAAGGATTCATATTAGCTCATAGAGCCAGAGCACTCTTGGGTGTTTTGTGACAGCTGTACCTGAAACATACCAGCTTTCAGAGTGGGCAAGAGCCATGGCCTCCAAAATCCCAAGTTTTAATTGTGTGTAACTTCTGATTGTTCTCAGAATACTGTGAGCCATGTAGAGTGAGGGGAGGGCTGCACTCAGGTGTGGAGGCCATCCAGATGTAAAGTGTTAAAATAAGAGTTAGGTGGGTCCCTTGCTGCCACAGCATGGCGCTTCCTCAGGTTGTAGATGGAGGAGACAGCCTCCAGATGTGGAGGGTAGCTGTGAATATATTGAATAAACAGTCATGGACAGCCAATAAGGGGTGGTCCTCCAGCTTGGGGGTTGGGCATGCGGCTAACAACTTGTCACTATAAAAAATGAGCTTTTTATGAAGTGTAGCAAAGGGCCTTAAACCTGGAAAAAGATTAGAATATACAAAACTATAATTTTGCCCGTGGTTCTGTATGGGTTTGAAACTTGGTCTCTGACATAAAGGGAGAAACAGAGACAGGATGTTTGAGAACATGATGCTGAGGAAAATATTTGGATCAAAGAGAGATGAAGTGACAGGAGGATGGAGAACACTGCATAATGAGGAGCTTAATAACTTGTAGTCTTCACCAAGTATAATTAGAATGATGAAGACAAGGAGGATGAGATGGGCAGAGCATGTAGCACGAATGAGAGTGAAGTGGGATGCATATAGGATATTGGTGGGAGAGCCAGAAAGGAAGAGCCCACTAGTAAGACCAAGACATAGGTGGGTGGATAATATTAAAATGTACTGTAGACAGATAGGATGGGGTAGTAGGGACTGGATTGATTTGACTCAGGGCAGGGATCAGTGGACAACCCTTGTGAACACAGTAATGAACCTTCTGATTCTGTAAAATGCTGGAAGTTTTTGAGTAGCTGCGTGACTGACGGCTTCTCAAGAAGGGTTCAGTACCATGAAGTTAGTTAGATGTATACTTCACTTCATAACACACTTTTTTATAAATAGAGTATTTCCTATTGTCCTGTTGTAATTGCGAATGTGTCAGTTTATTATGGCAGATCCTGTATTTGTAGACCTATAACAATAGTAAAGAGTTTTAATTTATTTAATTCCAGAGCTGAAAGCATCTGCAATCAGTTGAAAACATTGGGATGGGCCGCAATATGGTTGACAGGAGGACAAGACCAGCACCGTCGTCTTGAAGCTGTTGCAAGCCTCCGTGAGTTTCGTTGCCGGGTACTTTTATCAACAGACCTTACAGCAAGAGGAATTGATGCAGAGAATGTAAACCTAGTAATCAACCTTGACATACCTCATAGTGGTGCAACTTACTTGCATCGCATAGGAAGGGCTGGACGATACGGTTCTCATGGCATCACAATATCGCTGGTAGCTGATGGTAAGGAGCTAGCTCAGTTCAGAAGAATGCTAGGAACAATTGGTGAATCAGTGAGCATTGCTAAAGTACCAAGTGATGGAACATCAACAGATCTGTGGCACTGTGACATATCAAGCCTTGAAGAAGTCCAGGGTATTGCTCCAGGAGATGGTGCAGAAGCCTGTGAAGGTGTTAATTTAGATACATCTGATAGTAAGCATAGTCAAAGAGGTGCAGTTAGGAAGAAAGTTGGAAAACGTGTGAATGGGCTAAGTAAGGACAGGAAACTGCAGAATGAAGAGACACTGCGTAGAGAAATGAATGGAAGTTGGAACCTGTATCATGAATCTGTAGGGGAAAGCAATTGTGTCACAGATTTGGTGAAAGAAGTGGGCGAGATGTCCCTACTGGCTGAAGAAGAGAAAGCTGAAGTCCAAAAGGTTGAAGAAGAAGCACTGTGTGGCTTGGATGGAGCATTGACACAAGAAACTCGGGTTGACTTGCGACTAGACACATATGAAGACTTGTTACATCTGTTAGAAAACTTTACTGATGAAACAGACGCACAAGATATACACTGTTTAAGAGAAAGGGTTACTGATATTTCACGTGAAAGTGAAGTATCTAGAGTTTTGTGTGATATGATACAGGGTGATATTTGTAAGATGACTAACAAATTGAAAGAAGAAATCAAGGATTGGAATGTTGAAGATCTGTTAAAGCACTTAGTTAAAGGTCATCCATGGCCAGTAGTTGAGGCTGAAGCTTCAAGATCACCTGCAAACAAAGGAACAGAAACAGATTGTCATTACGTGGCGTCTTACAGAGCTTCAGAAGCTGGAGAAGAGACGGTTTCTTCAAGGAGGACTTTTGGTCATCCTTCCATAAACAGTCCTAGCAACTCAAGCCATAATCACTGTGCAAATGTGCATGATGATGTGTGTGAGGGCACTGTAGCTTTAGAACGCAATTCTCCTGAAACAGAAGTGTCTCTATCATGTTCTGAGAAATCAGATCTTGAAATTGATGTATCAAGAGGTTCAAGCCCAGAATTCTGGATGAAAAACAATCAGAATTCACAGTGGAATTACAGTAATGTACACAGGTCTACAGACTATTACAGTTATCCATGGTTACATTCTTACAGTGATTATTACAACTGGAGATACAACTGTGAGGAAGAATATTGTGGTGTTGATTTGTGTGAATATAGACACAACGTGGAAAGTAGTTATTACAACATGTGGAGAATGCATTTGCAGCAAGTAAGGCAGTATATTCAATGGACAGAATATTGGAAACACATGTTCAGTAAATATTAAACCAATAGTTTTGTAAACCTCTGCTCAGGAGGATTAAAATTGAAGAAAACCATGATTTCTGTATCAAATAAATTGAATTTATATTGAGAGCTAAGTTATTTGTTACGAGGGGAAGTCAATGATTGTCCGCAATGCAGTTGTATTTGTATTTCTGTTGGCAGCACTGTCGTTTTGCACAGCATAACCATACGTGGTTTCCTTGTCATTATTTCTGCGCAGGTTTGATGTTGCTAGGTCAGTTCCATCATCGCTGCCTTGCCGTTAATCATGGCTGCTCCGCTTTCTGTTTGCACCAAAGAAGAGCAACGTTCAGTGATCCGGGTTTTTTGGTCGGAAGGTGTATCAGGGGCCGCAATCCATTGAAGGCTTTCAGCACAATACGGGAACAGTGTTTTGCCGCAAAAGAGTGTCTACGAATGGATTGAAAAATTCAAAAATGGTCGCACAAGTGTTATGCATGAGGAAGGAGCCGGACGACCATCCACGGCCACAAATGAGGACAACATTGAGCGTGCACGTGACATGGTTCTGTTAGACAGACAAGTGACTATTGATGAAGTGGCAAATCGTCTGCAAATTAGTCATGGTTCTGCCTACGAAATCATCCACAACAGACTTGGGTTTCATAAAGTCTGTGCAAGATGGGTCCCAAAACAACTCACAGTGTTGCATAAACAAACGCATTTGGATGTCTGCCAACAACATTTGGATCGCTATGGTAATGAATGTGACGTCTTCTTAGACAGAATCATCACTGGTGACGAAACATGGATCCATCATTGCGAGCCAGAGAGTAAACGGCAGAGTATGGAATGGAAACATCCACAATCGCCCAGTAAGAAAAAGCTCAAAAGCCAACCATCCGCAGGAAAACTGATGCTTACAGTTTTTTGGGACTCGCAAGGCCCAGTACTGGAACATTATCAGGAGAGGGGCACAAAAATAAACAGTGCTCGTTACAGTGAGATGCTTACTGACAGGCTAAAGCCTGCAATTCGAAGCAAACGCCGAGGACTACTGTCGAAAGGTCTTGTGTTGTTGCAGGACAGTGCCCGTCCACATGCTGCTGCCCACACTGCTGAAACCCTCCAGAAACTCAAGTTTGATGTAATGGCTCATCCTCTGTATAGTCCTGATCTCGCCCCTTCTGACTACCACTTGTTTGGTCCACTCAAAGAGGCATTAAGGGGCCTTCGATTCACCTCAGACCAAGAAGTGAAGGAAGCAGTGCATGCGCGGCTCGCTGCTCAGCCGAAAACCTTCTTTTCTGAGGGCATCAGGAAGCTTGTGCAACGATGGACCAAGTGCGTTGAAAAGCAAGGGGACTATGTTGAAAAATGATGTTAATGTAAGTTTTCTATTTGTAGTGAAATAAAATTTATAGCTACATTGCGGATAATTATTGACTTACCTACGTAAATAGCACATAGGTTATATTCTTTTCTAATTAAATCTTTCCACTCCACCTCCCCAAATAAGATACCCTGACATTTTGATAATATCATTGCTTAGTCTACAGTTACAAGAGTTTGTCATGCTTCCAATTACCTGGATTGTTGAAGGAAAAAGGAGCATGGGTAAGCCAAACATGTCTAATTTGTTCATCTGACATGTTTTATCATAAATAATTCATACCATTGTTACCTTTTTGTCTTCTTGTCTGCTGTCCAAAAACAAAAATTAAAATATATGAAACTATAATTTTGCATGTGGTTCCTGTATGGGTGTGAAATGTGGTCTCTGGCAGTAAGGGAGGAACATAGAGTGAGTGTGCTTGAGAACAGGGTGTTGAGAATATTTGGACTGAAGGGAGATGAAGTGACAGGAGGTTGGAGAAAACTACATAATGAGGAGCTTCATAACTTGTACTCTTCTCGAAGTATAATTAGAATGATCAAGTCAAGGAGGATGAGATGAGCAGGGCATGTAGGACGAATGGGGAAGAAATGGAATGCGTATAGGATATTGGTGGGAAAGCCAGAAGGAAAGAGACCACTGGGAAGACCGAGCCATAGGTGGGTGAACAATATGAGAATGGATCTTGGAGAGAGAAGGTGGGATGGTATGGATTGGATTGATCTTACTCAGGACAGGGACAAGTGGAGGGCTCTTGTGAACAAGAAAATTAACCTTTGGGTTCCATAAAATGCTGGGAAGTTCTTGAGTATTTGCACAATTGGCAGCTTCTCAAGAAGGGCTCAGTTCCATGAGTGAGTGATTTAATATGTAGTTATCTACAATTGCTGTGTAAGTTAATACAACAGGATGCACTCCTTGAATATTAGAAAAGAAAATATTTGGGTGTCAACAGTTGAAACATCTGATGTAAGTGAAGAGAAATGTGCAAATGTCATTGTGGTTTTGGAGAAGGTCAGACATTGCCAGAGAAATTTGTTTTATCACACCAGGAAATATATGCATTTAATCAAAGCTATCGTGTGTTTTAAATGAAGCTATTTAAGCACTGTTGCCAGATGGTGTGAAATTTTGCAGCATGTTGTTGCTAGCTACAAGTGTCCTAAAGTACACGAAAAAACCAGCTGAAGGACTCCATGAGTTGCCCGAAGCTGATACGTGTAGTGTGAGTAGTGGATGTTTTGCTCAGGGTGGGTGAAAGAATTCATGTTCTAAATCCAAACATAGACAAGTTAGTTAATGGGAATAATATCTTTATGAAATCATCATCTAGAACAGCAATTTATAAGCAAAGTTTCCAACACACTAACTACAGCAATTACATGTTGAGAACTTGGTTGTGTGCAGGAAACTTAGAGTTGTTTTGTTCTGCGATAACTTAACCTCACATGAATGATACTTGCTCCATTGCATTACTACAAGAAACGTTTAATGACTCAAATGGATTGAATGTGTTAGGAACATACGTGGCCTACACTCATTCAAATTTTAATTTTCTATCACGTTCTGTAACAACATTAGGTTATAAATTTGTTGGCAGAAACAACAAAATAAATCAATGGCATTAGAAATAAACAACAAAATCAATGGCATGGAAGATGTTTAAGTAAAACAAAAATTCTGCTTATGTTTTTGTAGGAAGAGTTTGGAACCAGGTGTGAAATTGTATTGTATTGTATTGTATTTATTTGCACACTCCAACACATCCTTACATGGCCGAAGCCCTTGGATACAGAACCGGTCTCACAACAAGACTGCTAAGTAGCAGGTAGTCACTAGATAATATATATATACAACAATATTAACATGATATTAACTTAATACCCTTATATGTAGTACAATATAATTACATTATAATTTAAATATAAATAAATAACCTAAACACTCAATAACAATCCTAGTTAAAATATTCATCCAAAGTATAATAAGATTTACAATGTAAAAAGGCATGTAAAGCCACTCTAAATTGCTTAATATCACAGACCAATTCTTTAATCTTCAATGGAAGATGGTTAAAAAGTTTAATGCCAGAATAATAAGGACCTTTCTGGTAAATTGTTAAATTTGCCTGAGGACAATAGAGATCAAAATTACGCCTCATTTTCAGGCCATGAATTTGCGTTGACTTATGATACAAGCCCATATTATTCACAACAAACATCAATAATGAGAAAATATATTGCGACTGCAACGGCAATATTCCCCATTCCCTAAATGCCTCTCTACAAGAGTCTCTAGGTCTCAACCCACTCATGACTCTAATTATACTCTTTTGAATTCTAAAAATATGCACACTAA